GAATAAACTGGTTTAATAAAAAGGACTTGTATCACTAAAGTTCCTCGAAAAGCATTTCTACCGGAAATTATCAAACAAGCAGATACGTAACACTTATAATGATTAGAATGTCTTGATTTACCAGTTGGATACTCTCGCTATTAACCAGTACTGAATATAACTAACTTAATATACTTATAATGATTAGAATGTCTTGATTTACCAGTTGGATACCCTTGCTATTAACCAGTACTGAATATAACTAACTTAATATACATATTATAATTGAATGTACTGATTCACCAGTTGGATATCCTTGCTATTAATCAGTAATGACTATAACTAATTTAATACACTTATAATGACTAGAATCTACTGACTTACTGGTTGCAATATTTCAGCCATAATTCCCATAATATCTCATGACATTCAGCCAGCTTGAGAGGTTTATGTTAGTCATAAATTCACATTAAAATAACAGTGTGAAATTATTTTCAACATAAATAATAATAAAAACATATTACATTCATTAAACAATTAAACAGTAAAGAAAAATCAGTTCAATATATTCACTAGAATCGCTTTGTGCTTAAATCAGTGTTAAATCTAAATTTTTCCTTTAACAATTACCAGCTTTTTGAACTCACTTCGCATTAGTTTAATAAAGAGGTGATGTAGATTCAATACAACATTCAATAGAATGTATTTTATGTGCAGATTTGTGTCATAGAAACAATTAAGTTGATAATTTTATGTATATATGCCTTTACGGCACAGAATTGTCTAGATTTATGTACCACATAAACACAAAAAGTTATAATTTTTGTACACTGAAAATGTATTTCCAACAGGTACTTACTTCCACTCACATACATAGCTATTCTCGTTCAGTGCTTCCCTTTATTTGCAAAAATTTGTTTTTGTATGGCACAAGCCTTTCACTCCCATGCACCTGTCAATTCATATGGTTTAACTGATTCTCATATGCAAATTATAATGCTACAAACCTCTACCAATAGTAGTAACACACACCCACAAGATTCATGTGTCTCCCTCTATACTATTCTACTTAATTATCACTTAGAGTTTAGGCAGAAATATAAGCACCAGTTGACAGCAGGGAGAAAGGGTAGGCGAAAGTAAGTACTTGTTGGAAATACATTTTCAGCATGAGAAAATTATAACTTCTGACAAGGTACTTTACTTCCACTCATATACATAGCTAGAATCCCACACTGAATAGATGAGGGACTGGTTTGAGGGACAAAGTAGAAGCATTCTTTGAAAGGACACCCTAGCGAGGGAAACCTATAATAAAAGGATTATACATCGGTAACCACACCACTCCTGTACCTGGTATACTCTTCACCCAGATGTGGAAAAGGTGCGACAGGTCCGGGCACAAAATTATGAGGAACACATCCCAAAGGGAGAGAAAACTGTTGGACAGTGATCCTAACCACAATATATTATAATTTCAATCTCCTTTATGAAAAGAATATGGATAAACTAAGGGATGTGCCCTAAGTGTAGAGTGGCTAGGGCACGACGAACTGCACAAGGCAAGTGAACTGCGTCCAAAACTTGACCACTTGGACCCGACATCCATGCAGGGGTAGGACGAGGATCATACCATTGGTAAGTCAACTACAATTCAAAATTCAACCACTAGGAACTGACATTCATGCGAGGGTAGAAAAGACGATTTTTAATTTACACCTCAAGTTCAGTTGACCAGAGGGAGAAATCCCACCACCAATTTGTGAACAGGGCACATGTGAGCAGAGTGAAATAACACACATATATATCCCATTCAAATAAAACAGACTGGAACCACCTCAAATGTAGTAACATTCTTGATATAAAGACATCGAGAGGTAGCACAAGAAGAAAAGCAGAACAACCAACAAGTGCACCCACCATGACCCACAACACTAGGGTAGTGCACTGGAGGCAATTAGAGTGAGGGACAAGGGGCATCCTGAACATATGTGTGGGGACTTACGTTGATTGGTTCAGCTCTAAATCCAAAACTCAACCACTGGAAACTGGCATCCATGCTGGGGTAGGATGAGGGATCCAAATCAAAGAGGTGAACTGCATTTATGCTGACACACTATCTATGTGAGTACGTCAAGTCAATTTGCTTGCTCTAGATCCAAAACTCCACCACCGAGAACTGACATCCATGTGGGTGTAGGATGATGGATCCCAATCGCACTACATGATTGTGGACAATATGTTGATTAGTTGAGCTTTAAATCCAAAACTCAACCACCAGGAGCCAACTTCCAAACAGAGGTAGGATAAGGATACCCAATTGTTATGTCATCACACTCCAAAGTTACAAAATCCCCTCGGACAAACGTGAGCAGAGATAGAACATCATTGCAGGAAGAAAGTGAACCAAAGCACGTTGGACTGCCATACCTGCCATGATGTTGACATGGTAAGACCTTTCATCGATAGACCATTGTCCTGAGGCTTCCTGCTGATCAACCCACATCACACAACTTTGGAGATGAGCATCAGGAAAGAGAAACAAATCCAGATGAGGGGAAGGAATCAGTAAACCCAAACACATGGGAGATATATTCAATCACCAATGCATAGAGTCAAAGAGGGAAGGAGGAAAGTTAAAAGGAGAATCCAAAGGAATCCTATCAAGATACCATGGGTCATGCAGTATCTCCTGTAAAGATCACAATACAAATGTGCCAGACCCAAAGGGAGAAGTGCTTGTACAGAAGCCACATACCCTAATGCGGTAGTACCTCACTAGCTGCAAGATAGTGAAGCGTAATGGTGTGGATAACAGAAAGTTCCATTGAATGCATTTGAGGAGGAGAACGGATGGTCCCGATGGAGGTGGGTGTTTAATAAGACACTCCCCCAAATAGCCAAGATTGTTAGGTAGCTAAAGGGAAAACTTATCCAACTGGAAAATCCAACCATCTGAGCTGCTTATCTATGAAGCAGATGAGTATGTAATCACCACCCCCATTTGGAAGGAGCTAACCGAAGCTAGACATCCAAGTAGTTGTGAAAGTAAAATCCCCAAAAATGTGGAAGTTGGGGAAAATGCAGATCACCTTATAAAAGATATACAGAACTGAAACAAGTCTAAAGGGCACGGCATGAAACTGGTACAGAATTACATGGTGAACAAACCTAAGATAGCATTCTGAGAAATGAAAATTAAGAACATGTACCATGGACATTCCCAGTCCTGCAGAAATGGTTCACCAGATTGTGATCAAAGACTACATATTAAAAACAGGAAAGAATCAAAAATGTGATTGAGGTAGGACCGATCAATCCAAAACTCCAATCAGCATTGAGCATACACGACGTATGGAAAAACCCATAGGTAGGACAGGTAAAGGATGGGAAGGTACAGGTCACGGAACATGATTAAAATTGGAAATGACTCAGAATGAAACAAAAGAACAACCAAATAAAAATAGAATATAGCATCACAGATACACCACATGATGCTAAATGTGCAGGAGTAACACCAGAAAACAGACCAGTGGAGAAAAAGAGCCGACTGTAAGAACATATTAAAAGTGAATGGTAAACAAATGGTACAAGACAGTGTCCCACCTCAGAAGATCTCAAAAGCCAAGAAGACATGTGTAGATGGAAAAAATTGAAGAAGGCAAACACCCCAACATGGAGAGAACGAGGAAGAGGTATCCGACGATAATTCCCTAGTTGTAGAATGAACACCAAAAAAAGTAGGTGTAAGGTAGACATATCCTGTAGGAAAATTGATAGGGTAAGACAAAGCTGTAAACTAGATGGGGGAATAATATGGATAGGGTTAACAGAGACTGCCCTCCATACAGGTGACAGAGGTTCTAGGTACATAGAACCAAGAAGAAAATCTGCCTGATGGTAAGTTAATGCAGACTGAACCAAAGTCTGTGGAGGGCAAGGCATGCAAGTACTCTCTGGGGAAGGGGGGGAAAATTATACTGTGAAACGTGTCTAAAAAAGGCTGAGGTAGGCCTAGCAGATTCTGCAGTAGAGGCCTGGGAAAGCAAGCCATAATCAGGTGGAGGGAAAACTGACAAATTCTATGTCATTCTAAACAGGTTCAGCAGTTGTAGGAGGAAGTCAATCAATATCAGAAAAAGGTATGGCAAACCCTGTTTACCAGGGATCCTCACAAACAAAACTAATTGTAAGAAGTATAAATTATAAAGAATTATGAAAATGAAACAGGCAATATAATGTAAATTTAAGTCTGTGTGTAGTGAAATAAACATATGTATAAGATGTTATGTGTTGAAGAACACAAGATATTTAACCTAATTATCAATTTATTTGTAAGAACAACTACAGGTAAACCAAAAATAACAGACATTTGTTAAGCCTAATCAAACTGTGCACGATAAAATATATCACTAAGCTCTAATTCAAAAATCCTAACCTAACAATAATGTACAATACTGGGAGAAGTTTGTGCAGACCCCGGCTCCAGGTGGTCCACACAAACAAAGTTAATATGAAGAAGTATAAAAGATAAATAATAATGAAAATGAAATAGATGTGATATCGTAAAATTAAGTAAGTGTGTATTGACAATAACATGTATATGAGATGTGATGTTTTGATGAAAAAACAACATAGTTAACCTAATTTATGATATACCAGTTAGATGAATTACAGGTAATCCCAAAATAACAAAAATCTACGTTAAGCCTAATCTAACATTATAGGACAAAAGACACAACTAAGCTCTAATTTCAAACCTGAACTTGACTATGAGTATTGACCAATCTAACTAAACTTGTTAGTGAACCCAAATAACTATAGATAATAATATTAATAGTAAAAATATTCAAAACATAACAGTATAACTTCTTATCTTTCCAAAGTTGACGGACCGTATTTCAAAATGTGTGGGCCCCCCGAACTCGAGTCAAGGCCCTACAAAGGTCAGCTCATTGGATGATCAATCTCCTGATGAAGTAAAGCTGATAATTCCCCAGTTGAGGACTGCCACCTGAAGCCTGTGTAAATGTGCTGATAGAAGATATAACCTCCGAAAAGGTAACTTAGAATTTGGAATTCATACTTCATAATGAATAATCAAACACAACCGTGATGGCAGAAAGAAATAAAAAGTTGTAATGAAATATTAAGTTCCATAACTGGGTAGGAATATAAAATAATTCCAGTTTGGAATAAGATACAAATATCACTATTGTATAATCAATAGTAAACTTGTTGAGAAAAATTGATATGAATATACCAAAAAAAAACACTTGAAGAGAGCACAAATGAATTATCTGAACATGAGCACTTCCAAATAAGAAATGTAGTTAGGTAGAAGAGCACAGAGGGAGTCACATGTGTGGCACTACTATTTGTGGAGGTTTGTCGCATGATAATTTGCATAGAAGAATCAGTTAAACCATGTGAATCTAGGGGTGCATGGGAGTGAAAGGCTTGGGGCATGTAAAAAAAAAATTTGGAAATAGAGGGCAGCATTGAACAAGAATAGTTATGTATGTGAGTGGAAGTAAGGTACCTAGTTAGAAAGTAAACGTTTCCAATAAAAAACTTTTGAAAAGTAGATAATGTCATTTTCTTAACAGCTATATGCCTGTAATATGGAACATTTAAATCAAATTTTCAATATTATTACACACCTATCTGAAAATGTATTACTGCGATTGCAGTTTAAAATGTCCACAAAATACACAATTTTTTTATCTTACAGTTTTAAGGACTTGCAGCTATGCTTCATACTATATGACTGAAATATTAGTTGCAGTTCATAAAGCTAAGGAGTTAATATGGGTCAGTATTGTTTAACATCTGTAGTCAAGCCTTTCTGCTTAAGCTAACTACATTATTCTAATTAATCTAAGTTCTTATTATAAATCCGGGTGAAAGCTAAAAATGAATACAAACAATAATGCCAAATATAAGTGTCATTGAATAGGATTATTAGCAAGTTAAAAAATAGATATCAAAGCATAAATATTAGAATAATGGTGTATCTTTCTATGTACTTAAGCCTGCACTAGAGAAATATATACAGATCTGTACTTTGGAATCAGCAAGTAACACATGGAGCATTCATGATGTTTAACACATTCTGTGTTCTCCTATATGGGAGTAGCTTTAAAATAACATTCCATTTACTGATTATCTATATCCAAGTTTCTGAAGTATATCCAGTCTAACTGAAAATAAAAACAACATATGCTAAAACACATACCTTTTCCACTTCTGCTCGAGGCAAGTTAATATCAATATCAGCCTTTAAGTAACTTTCATGAGATTTTTCTGCTTCTCTGAATGCTTTCTCATAAGCTTTTTTAGCCTGTAGATTAAATCAGTGATATGAGAATACACATTTTTATTTTATTTTTATATCTTACATGAAAGCAAAACAATTTTCTAACAGAAAAAACAAAGCATGACTAGTATATAAACAATGACTCTCACAAATTCAAGTTTTTATGTTATAAGCATTAACTATGTTGTATTCACCAGGTGATAATACCCTATATTCAAATTACCTTTTCCTCACAGAATGTTGTACCCTGATGTTTTAATTAAAATTATAACATAGAAAATCAAACATACAAAAAGTTGGGGGGGAATTTGCAGGCACCATCTACAGATACAAGTGCAAGTTCTGAGATTATCTCTATCAATATTAGTAAGAAGGCACGCATAATCATTCATGACTCCTCTGGCCACTTTTGTGCTAAAACCAATCCAAGCATCAGAGAACAAGTCATGGTAAGTCACTGAGGTGGGAAGCCAATAACAATACAAATGACATAGTTGAATATCACCAAAATTATCATTCGAAGCTTAAGAAAATATACTTATTTTTGTTTAGCTACATGATGGTCTAAATTCTATGTAGTTGACTGTGTGACATCTAGTTGGAGTTTTGAAATGTTATTCCACAACAGTAAGGCTCTTGTGTCAGCTTTAACAACTTAACACAGCAGAGAGAACAGGGTTGAGCAGACATCACAAGTTCCTGACCTTAAGAATTTTATATTTGAACAGATCATAAAAGAAAATGAATAAAATGATAACTGAACGAAGTGAATCCTATCTAAAAGAAAAACCTGATTTCATAAAGCCTGAAATGTTGTAAGTACATAACTGATATTGTTCCAGTTGTGGATGCAGTACAGGAGTAATGGCCGAAAAATGCAAATTTCATGGAAAGTGTTCCCCTCCTGAGCTGGCTAAACCTAATGATATATTGTCAGGAATTCAGTGATAAGTAAAATGGAATGATAATGCCATTTAAGGAAAGGGTCATAATAACTTAATTCTCTCAGAAATATCGCTGAAACTTAATTGTGGGGATGAAGGTATAAATAGGTCACTAGGGTTGAACACTAGGCTTAGGTCAATACATAAGAATGTGCGGGTCAGCTGGTTGTATTTGTAGGATCGGTTCAATAGGAAAAGGGAGCTTTTTTGGATGGATGGTTCACATGTAAATAGGGTAGGTCTAACTTGTTTATAAAGGCTACCAACTCAACTGTAATGGTAGTTCTAAACTAAAGAAAATTATTGTGTAGTATCAAAGTACAAAAGTAGTTTCAATGTTAGGCTAAATTGTTATTATTCTAATGGTAGAAGTGCAAGAAATAAAATGGATGACTTTAGAATGCTGGTTGGAACAGAGGATTTTGATGTAATGGATATAAAAACTTGGTTAAATGTAAACAATTTTGATGACAGGAATTCCTTTGAAGTACAGAGTTATGAGTTTTTAAGAAGAATAGAGTACTAAAAAGAGAGGAGAAATAGCTTTATATGTAAAATGCGAGTTACATTCTATTTAAGATGAGAATATCCAAGCTAATAGCAAGGAGGTTGAATCTATTTGGATTTCTGTTATGGGTTATAATGGGAGAAGGCTTTTAGTTGGAATTTGTTACAGACCACCAGATAAGATAAAGAATTCAGCTGTTAATGAGGTTATAATTACGAGATATTTTAATTTCAGGTATATCGAATGGGAGATGTTAAATTCAAGTCATGAGGGAGGCAGGTTTTTAGAAATCAGGTGGACTCACAAAGGTAATATAGCACAAAATTAAAGAAAAGCATTATGTATTTAAACAGTTTAAGTTGCAGGCAAAGATGGGAGATTTGGAAGATTATAGAAGATCAAAAAAGTTGGTTAAAGGGAAACAGAAAATCAAAAACTATAGGAAAAAGGTTGGTTGAAAAGGTAAAAATAAATAGTAAAGATTTGTTTACATATATTAAGTTTAGTAAACTGTTAGGATGGAAGTAGGGTCTTTGAGGGATGGTACAGGAAGGTTCATATTTGATACTAATGTAAATGCTGGGTTATCAAATTCTACTTTTTCTTCAGTTTTTTTACCAATGAAGATCTAAGCAATATTCCTCATCTTAAACAGTTTCTAGATGGAAAGAAGAATGAACAAGATGATTACATTAGTTCTGAACTTGTTAAGGAAAAACTAGGAAGTATAAAGAATGATAAAACTCTTATATCACATAACATTTTCAAAAGGGTTTAGAAGAAGGTTAAAGAATGGATATGTGAGCCACTTGCTACTAGTTTTTGTAAGTCCTTTACTAGTGGGCAGGTGTCAGATGATTGGAAGTTGGCTAAGGTTACCCCTTTTTTTGAGGAAGGTGATAATAAATGTCTGAGTAAATATAGGCCAACATAAGTAGTGGGAAAAGTATTTGAAAGTCTGATAAAAAAGTTTTGCAAAGTCATTTAACAAAGTTTAAAAAATTGTTGGATAGTCAATATGGTTTCTCTTGGGGATAGACTTGCCTTACTAATCTTTAGAGATTCATTAAATATGTTACTGCTTATACAGATGATGGTACAGGCATGCATTTAGTGTATCTGGATTTTAAGAAAGCATTTTACAAGATGCCACATAAAAGGTTTGTTAAAAAAAAAATATCTCAGTAGGTTTGGGGGGATAGATTTGCTCATTGCATAGAAAAATGGATGGAAGGAAGAAAGCAGAGGGATGTTATAAATGGAGTTCAGTCAAACAACTGTATTCAAATTTGCTGATGATATTAAGTTCCTGGGTTTTGCTGGCTGTGAGAAGGATGCTGTTGCTTTACAAAAAGGTTTAGATTTGGTGTGTTGGGCATATAAATGGAAGATGGCCTTTAATTACAATAAGTGCAAAGTAATGCACATGGGAGATTATAACTTGAATTTGAGTATAATTTTAATGGGAATAACCTTAATAGAGTTATGGGAAAAAAGATCTTGGTGTTCTAGTTGATAACTCTCTTAAGATACCTAAGCAATGTGCTGTTGTTAGTGGCATCGCAAACAGAATTTTTGGTTGTATCAACAAACATGTTGAATATAAGTCTAAAGAGGTTGTAATTTCATTGTGTGATAGATCATTGTTTAAAGCAAATTTGGAGTATTGTGTCAGTCTTGGGCTCCTTACCTTAGGAAGAACATTGAACTCTTATAAAGGGTTCAGAGGAGAGCTACTAGGATAACACCTAGGATAGGAAGGTTGTCATATGAGGAGAGGTTAGATCTCCAAAATTGCTTTCTCTCAAAAATGAGATAGATGGAATCTGATTGAAATGTTAAGAGAATTGATAGTATTCATGCACCATCTTTTTTTGACTTAATGGTGAGAATGCTAGGACTAGGAGACGTACATTTTGCTGAGTATGAATCATCTTCAGGTAGACAGCATTAGTTTTATAACACAGTGGTTGACTTTTGGAATGAGTTGCTTTTAGATGTGGTTGATGGCTGGCTTCGAGTGTTTTACTTTAATTTTAAAATTTAGTTTAGTGGATGAAATGGCCTAGACAGACCAATAGATCCCTTGTTGTCCATAAATTATATGTATATATGTATGTTGTTAGCTATGCTTGTCCTATTTGTTAGATTCCCTTAAAAGGGACATTATAATTCCAAAGGCCCTGGAGTGGATTGGATCTTGAAGTACAAGCACCTTATGCAGACGGAGCTCAAAGAAAATGTACTGGCTATGGTTCAGGGCAAGCTCCTTAAAAAAGCAGACAAATGGTACTATGGAGTCAAATAATGCCAGAACATGCAGAGTCAACCACTCATTCCACCTAGAACTAGACTAGTGTTGTTGGAAGAATGAAGTAAGAAGCCTGGTACAGTTCTGTCCTCTTAGGCCTAATATGCTGGAAGACAAGTGGACTGTTTTTTAATGGATTTTCCTCATTTCAAGTTTTTCCTACTGAAAATTTCCTTGAGATATATAAAACCTTAAGAAAAAGAACATGAAAAAGTCTTTAAACACCTGCAAAGTTGCAACAGATTTTTCCTACCTAAGGTTTCTACACAGATATGTAAATATCATCTGTTAAGGAATGAAAAACAAAATTATGAAACCCCATAAAACAAGTGTTTTCAAAAGATAAACTTTTTCATCAGGGGTAAATTTGTTAAGCAATGTTTCTTTTCCTACTAAGTTCTTTCTCATGAAATAGTAGAACCACCTGGTTTCTACTAATGTGTAAAGATTTTCCTTAATGAGTGTAACATAAGGACAATTTAAGACCATCAGCAATAATCCAAGCTTAATCCTTTCCCTATTCAGAGTTTTCCCAAGGGCAAGAAAAACCAGTTTATGACAAGAACAATTTACATCTCTTCCCAAAAAACAAAATCTTATGAACAATTAAAATTCTCTAGTCACTTAAAAAAAAAGTGAAAGTCCTAATTATCTGCCAAAAATGGGTAGGTAATCTTAAACAATGTATGTCCCTTATTCAAATATGCTTACTATTTTCATAGTATATAATATCAACCATTCAATCAAAGGTCCAAACCACATGCTTGCAGCTTATTTTGTTACAAGGGCTAATTATTAAGTAACATACAAAAGTAAAGATATATATTGTAATACTTTTATTACTCTGATTATCATTTAACTCTCTATGTCTCTTTACAACTGTTTCCTTTCAGCTTCTATGGGAAGGGAATTTTATTTAATCTTTTAATAATTAAAATTAACTTAGCCCATTTTTCAATATCCAAAGTTCAAGAGATTTTAAGAATGTGATATTTAGATACATTTATATCCTACAGATAGCTGTTAGAAGTAAATACAAGATTTAGGTCCTGTAAACATTATGCGGAGAATAATCTTGAACATTAACAATGAAGAAAAACAAATAGACACAAATTACCAAATAAAGGGAAAAAATTACTAACATGTGTAGGTTTTAGTTTACTGGTCAGTTTACACAGAATTTACTCTACCCCAACTCGTACTAATTTGTACAAGTATCTTTACTATTCCTTGAAGTGAATAGTGGTGATAATGCTTGACA